GAGAAGATAGGGGTGTGGCTGCACCATGCATCCGGTTACCAGTTTCTTACCCGACTTTCTCAGAAATTCACGGTGGAGCGGAAGTGTGAGGGAAGAATACGTATTTATTATACCTCTGAACAACTTTCGGCTATCATAGTTCTGTAGTTTTTGCGCGTCGCCGACCATATGAGAGTGGTAGGTGGAGATTTCCTTCTGACGCCAAGTATGACCCCCAAGGGTTAACATAACATCAGTGTAATCACTGTATCGCATTTCGTCTTGTTCCCTTTCACAAGAAGGAAAATGTCTTAGGATAAAAGAACTCACCCACCGTCCAAAAACACTACGAATAACCAGGCGGCTGGTGCAAGAAGTGCTTGTGCCACCACCTCCACCCATGAGGCGAAAAGTGTCGAACACGTGTGGCGAGTTTCTGATGCCCTACAAATGGCTTTATTTCATTAACGTATAGGGCATATGGGTCAGTGTACGACCAGAAATACCTTGTTATTACCTGAAACACGTGCCATGTACGATCTTCCATGTAGTTGTGTTCAGCATAATTCCTATTATAAATAGAGCGGTCGACGGACCGAACATGAACACCGCTGAGTGATAGATATTGAGCGGATACGAACATGGACAGGCAAATGTCAACTTCCGAATGATCTAAAACTGCGAAAAGAGTGTGAAAGTAATCGCTGTCTCTTTCTGCTCCTTTGACAAATACCGCTTCGAGATCAGTTGCCGTCTCGGGAAGCATATGGCTTTCACGCAGCACTTTGGTCGTTCAACTTTGTGAACTCATCATTCCAGTTTACAGGCACCCTCCACGTTGGTCGCCTGAGCGCAGTCTCAGACCTACTACAGTGCCTCCCTTATAAGCCGTCGTCACTAATGAGCAGGGCTCAGTGGTATGCCGAATCCAGTCCATGAGATCAGTCTAGACCGTGTCTTGTCCACAGGGCACAGCATTGGTTGGGGATTCCCTATGGGGGGGGGTCGTATTTGGCCGTCAAAAGGGGGGGTCGTATTTGGGCTGGGAAAAATTTATTTTTATAGTTGATTTTTCTCGCTTTGCGGACGTTTTGGAGGGGGGGGGTCGTAATTTGGTCCTTGTGGGGAGGGGGGGTCGTATTTCTGGCTAGGAATTATGTGGTTCACTTGGTGGATTTTTATGAATTTACTGTGTTATAGCTACTATGTACGCCCGCCCAAAATAAAGCTGTTCCAGTTTCGATAGCTGCTGTCTAACGCCGCAGTGCGCGCTCGGTAAGTTATCACAAGAACGCTGAGATATTGGCGAAAGTCGGAAAAGCTGTTCCAGTTTCGATAGCTGCTGTTTAACGCCGCAGTGCGCGCTCGGTAAGTTATCACAAGAATGCTGAGATAATGGCAAAAGTCGGACCCGGGACGGGACTTGAAGCCCGCATCTCCCGCTTACCGGGTGGTTCTTACGTTATCGCAGTAGCTACCGGGCCTCTTTGACCTTCTGCATGCTCAATCGGCACAATGGCACAAAATCTACGGCATAAATGCCGTATAACGGGAGATGCGGGTTCAAGTCTCGTTCCGTCGACTTCTGTCACTATAGTCACATTCGTTGGATAAAACCAAAATACCTCTTACCAGGGCATGTTGATTATCGTTGGGGTCCCTCAAAGCTGTGGGCTGTATCTAGTCATCAGGAAATAGGTAGGAATTTTGGGCCAGTGAATAATGTTTTCTGAGTGATTGGTTTTTCCCCCAATTACCGGAAAACCTTAATTCACTATGCCTAAGAATTTAATTGTAAGGTGTCACCCTGTGATTCCTCACAGCCGGCCTGTGCCGCGGCAAATGTTTGCGAAAGCGTTTGATCAATATTTATCGCTTTGGTAAGTCGTCGAGAGAGGGGGGGGGGTCGTACGGGAGAGCCAATTCGAGAAAGAAGGAGGTCGCATTAACTGATGCTTCTCTAACAACGGGCGCATTCCGTTGCAGCAATGACTGAGGCTTGTGAACTTTGTAGTTCGCGCAGCTCTGTACCCTTTCGGAAGGGCCTCTCCGCTAACTCTTCTTCGCGTACTCGTCCAGTGCTTAGAATCAACTGCCAAGAGAGGGTCCTAACCGGGGTATTCCAGACTATTTCCACTCTATTGTCGTTCATTAAGCTGATTAAGTCGAAATAGCACTACAGATATAATAGGGGACGCCAATACCAACAACTTGCAGAGCGTTTCCCTGTGGGAAGTAAGGAGCGCAATAGTCTACATTCAGTTGACCGAGTATAGCAACATTCACACAACTTTTGAGCAAAGTTAACGGTACCCCACTTGATTCCTTATCACAAAGATGCCTAATATTGGCAAAAGTCGGACCCGGAACGGGACTTGAACCCGCATCTCCCGCTTACCGGGCGGCTGCCTTATCCATTGCGCTGCCGGGGCCTCCCGGTAGCGTAACGGATAACGCAACCCACTGATCCCCCCCAACCCACTGATCCTTATTCCGAATCGAAGGTTTACGATCACGGTAACAGTTCATCAGGTGAGGGGTGAAATGATGCTACTTACCGACTGGCCACCGATAGTGGATACTACCAAAATTATATTTAGAAATGTTGAACCATGATTTGAGAACAAATTTTGGAATACAGTCACCACGGAGTTCGCACCCGACATGATCCTGAAATCGAATCGACTCTGAATAGCAAGGAACGTTGTTTCTTACCAGAAAAAAAATTAGCTTTCATCCTGTAATAGCTAGTGATTACTTTTACATGTACCTTTTGCGTGGGGGAACCCAATGAAAGCGATCGATTTGTCCTTGCAAAGGTACGGACCCACGGTAGCAATGTGGGCGGAGTCAGGCCACTGCGCATACCTCACTAGTGCGCCCTTCTTCGAAGAAGGAGGAGCGCGCCAATGAGTAACATTCTCTGGTAAGATTGACCCCGTCCATTCTGTGAGCGTGGGCCTACCTTTGAATAGGCACACCTCTATATTTCCCAGTTGAGACTGCGGCATAGGGGAGTGGTCAAACTGGCTCACGAGAATGGATCTACCAGTGAGCTGATGAGCTGCTCTTGAAATTATTAGCTATTGGTACTATTGATCCTGGTTGACCATGCAGTCGAATTTT